ATATTAACACCATGCTCAGCTGTATTTTAACATGAACATTATATTAACACCATGGCCTATTGTATATTAACATTATCATTATATTAACACCATGTTCTATTGTATATTACCATCAACATTATATTGACACCATGTTCAGTTGTATATTAACATCAGCATTATATTAACACCATGTTCAATTATGTATTAACATCAACATTATATCAACATATATTCAGTTGTATATTAACATCAACATTATATAAACACCATGCCCTATTGTATATTAACATTATCAGTCTATTAACACCATGTTCAGTTGTATTTCAACATCAACATCATGTTCAATTGAATATTAACATCAACATTATATTAACACCATGTCCTATTGTATATTAACACCATCAGTATATTGACACCATGTTCAATTGTATATTAACATCAGCATTATATTACATATTAACACCATGTTCAGTTGTATGCACATGTGTATATTAACACCATGTTCAGTTGTATATTAACATCAGCATTATATCAACATATGTTCAGTTGTATATTAACACCATGTTGTATATTCTCAGTTGTATATTAACATCATCAGTATATTAACACCATGTTCAATTGCTGTGATTTGCACCATGCAGCAATTTCCTTCGTGTTGGCAAGGCTTTTTGGGGTGAGAGAGTGTGTGGGCACTTGGGGGGGGGGGGGAGCGGTCTCATGCCCACACACACGGGGCGCCATCGTTCGCTCGTGGATGGTTTTGTTGGGCGGGTATTTTCTTTATTTTTTTTTCTTTCTTTGTCTTTGTTTATTTCGTTTTTTTAATGATGATTTTCCTTGTTTTTTTGTTTTTTTTTTTTTTTGTCTGTTTTCGTGTTTCGGGATCCTTGTGTGATCTTTTCTTTCTCAGTGTCTGTGTCTCTCTTTCTCTCTGTATGTCTCCTTTCTACGTCACTTTCTCCCTCCGTCTGTCTGTCTGTCTGGTAAAATTTTGAATTCGAGACAAAGTCGAATGTCTGAACGAAATTAATCTTCATACGTTGTCCCAGCTGTTTCCTCGTCAGTGAAATGTTCGGAAAGGTTATTCTCCCAGAAAGCCCCTTCCCCCCCTTCCCCTCCCCCCCCCCTCCCCGCCGCCGGTGAGACCCCGAGGCCGCGTTCGGTGGCTGTGACATATCCCCGCGGTCCCGAGTGAACGCGGCCGCAGCCTTCCGTTCGTTTACCTCTGGGTGCGAACGCGTCCCCCCGTTCGCCCCGCCGCTGTTGAATATGCAATTGCCTCGAAGGACCATGACGACTGGGCTATTAGCGCGTAGGGAGGGACCCCGCCACCTTCGCCGTCAGCTCCCGATATTGCTGACACCTGACAAATGGGAGCTGGCGTTCGGGAAGAGGAGACCAGGGGAAAAAATCGCTCTGTTGCCATGTCGGCGCTGATGCGTTTGGCCGGCGCGGCGGGTCGGGAGGCGTTCGATGACGTTTTCGGGCGACGCGCGAGGGCTCGATCCGCCGATTCGTCGCGAATGAGGCGCTTTATCTCCCAGTCAGCCGCTCAATTAGCCTCCGCTGCCGAGAGCATAAATCATCCCTGGTTCGCGCGAGACCCTCGGCGCGGAGCGGGGGCAGCGCCTCTTGTCCGGAGGCGGAAGGACGCGGCCAGACCTTCCCCGTCGTCCCGTCGGCCAAAGGACGCCGTCGGGCGGCGCTCGGGGCGGCGCGCAGGGAGAGGCTGTTATCTTCCGCCCGTCGGCCGCCTCTGCGTCGAGCAGCAGGGCGCGATAAGGCGGAGGGGCGGCCGCGGCCGGGTGATATACGGGGGCAGTTCGGTGTGTGGCCGGGGAGCGGAGTGGTCAGGCAGCCTCCTACCTGCCTCCCACGGGCCGGCTGACCTTCCTATCCTGAAGGGGCAACATCCTGCTCCTTTTGGCGGCGCTCCGCTCGCTTTTGAGGGATAATGCCTGTTTCCCGTCGCGGTGGAGCCGGGATGTTAATGCGGGCGAGTTGCAGGTTTGGGCGGATGGTTTGGAGAGGCTGCGACGCCTTTCCCGCCCGCTTTGGGGACGGAGGCGGGCCATTCCCTCGGCGCCCCGGCAGAGCCCGGCGGAGCACCAGCATTCACTGATGCCTCAAAGGACGCGGTGCAAAGCCATGCGTCGGCGGCCGCCTCCTTCCCCACGCCTCCCGACGGCGGCGGAGGAGGCGGGCGTGTCCGCTGGAGTGCCCAGGGGCGTGGCGAGGTGGGCAGCTGCTAGCCTTGGCGTCTGGGAGGAGCGGCCGCCCCGCGCGCCGGCCCGACGCGGTGTGGGCGGCGACGCAGCCTCATTACTGCCCCCGCGGTTTGCTTGGAATATTGCGAGGCTTATTATGGGCGGGGTCGGGACGCGGGCGGGGAAAAAAGACAGAAAATATGCGATAAGAATTCAGGCGCCCGCGCGGAGACGACCATGACGAGGTGGTCGCCGGCGGGGAGCTGCTCGGTGCACGCCCCCGCCCCGCGGCACGGGCGGCGGGGGCTGCCTGCCCGACACGAAGGGGGCGCGGGGGCCGAAGGGGCTTATGTGATATTGTGTGTGTATGTATGTATATATATATATTATATAATACACACATATATACATACATACGTACTTATATATACGTATTACACACACACACACACACACACACACACACACACACACACACACACACACACACACACACACACACATATATATATATATATATATATATATATATATATATATATATATATATATATATATATATATATATATATATATATATATATATATTATATATATATATATAGAGAGAGAGAGAGAGAGAGAGAGAGAGAGAGAGAGAGAGAGAGAGAGAGAGAGAGAGAGAGAGAGAGAGAGAGAGAGAGAGAGAGACAGACAGACAGACAGAGAGAGACACACACACACGCACTTATACACAGAATTATTTTGCTTACATGTTTATGAACGTATATAGTAACAAAAACTGAACTAATTCCCAGAAACACAGGAAAGGAAATCTGCTTTTCTATATCATACGGGTTTAATGTCAATAGTGTTACTTTTTTTAGTTTTCTTATATTACCTGTGGAAGTGTATATATTGCGTAAAGTTAATGTATTTTAAGAATTATATGGTTTTAGGATACTTAGAATATTCGATTTATGACGTCAGCGCATAAAGGAAGCTAAATGATTATATATTTATTTTCCTTTTTTGTATCTCAGTTTTCTTTTCATCAATCAGTTTCTCTTCGATTTAAGGCTGACTTGGGTTTAAGTGCAATTAAATATTTTTTTTCTTTTGCTATTCTCATTTATTTCCTTGTTTTATTTCTTTAATCGTATGCCTTAAGTCAGGGCTTAATAAAGAACAATTTCTCAACATCGTCTTTTTTATGGAAGACAAAAAATAAAAAGATATAAATAATGACCGTATTTAAGTTATTAACGAGCCATATCTAAGATATGATTATTCTCATCATTTAAAGAAATGATTTCCCAAATGACGCCATTAATTAAGGATTATTAGGGCCCATGTCTGATTTGCGGGCGTGAGGGATGGCGAAAGGCTGGCTGGATGTGTTGTCTTGTTGGGCGGCTCGTGGGCTGACAGGGGACGTGTTAGGAACGTGTTGGGGTTATCGGCGTCACCCTCTGATGTGTGTGTGTGTGTCTGTCTGTTTTGTCTGGGTGAGAGGAGGGTTTGGGTTCTGGCTGTCTCTGTCTGTTTTTTTTTTTTTTTTTTTGGCTGTTTTCTCTTGTCTTTCTCTTTTTTTCTATCTTTGTCTTTTGTCTCTTCTCTCTCTCTCTCTTCTTTCTCTCTCTCTTTCTCTCTTCTCTCTCTCCTCTCTCTCTCCTCCCTCCCTCCTTCTCCCCTCCTCTCCCTCCCTCTCCTCCCCTTCCTCCCTTCCTCCCTCCCTCCATCCTTCCCCTCCTCCCTCCCCCTCCTCCCTCTCCTCCTCCTTCTCCCTCATCCCTCCCTCATCCCTCCTTCCCCCTCCCTCCCTCCCTTGTCAGATTTTCCCTTTTATCTCCCGCAAGTAAGTGTAAGTGTCAGAAAGTTATGTCCGAAGGCGACCGTTATCGCTACGACGGCCGCCCGATCAGCCCGCAAGGTTTCTTCCGCTTGACGGACTCTTCGGATCTCTCTCTTTTCTTTTTTTCTTTTTCTTCTACTTCTTATTTTTCTTTTTCTTCTACTTCCTTTATATTCTTTTGCTTTCATTTTCTTCCTTTTCCTTTTTTCTTATTTTTCTTCTAATTCTTTTTTTTTTTTTCTTTTTCTTCTCTTATCCTTTTTTCTTTTTCTTCCACTTCTTCTTTCTTCTACTTCCTTTTTCTTCTTCTGTT